TTGATAATAAATTAGTGAAGTAACCTGAAATAGGTCTCTAAATTAAAAGTGAGTGATTTCTTTTAAAACTCAAGATATACATTCTTCTATTTGAAGAACTGAAATGGAAAAGTATTATCCTTTTTCTATTAACTAGCAACTATTCAAACAGAATGTGAATACATTTGAGGTGAACTTCCCATTCTTCCAGCTCCTTATCAGAAGCACCATATCTGGGTTTTAGGGTTCAAATATTTCCTTTTGAATAGACCAGCAGTGGAGGAGAAGGGAGGTAACTGTTATGAATATGGTTGTTATTGATGATGGACTTCAGGAATTGAACACAGATGAGTCTTACTGACAATCTTTACTTTTGGGTGACAGGAAAAGCCATTTGTTCAGAGCAAATGGAACAAAAAATGTTGGGCTAAGTATCAAGCAGATTTTAGGGCTCAGGGTCCAGCAGAATTCATGGTGCTATGGCACTTATGCCAGTGACCATGAAACAGAGGTTCTCAGGATTCTTTCCAGGCCAAAATGAACACTTGGGTTTCAATTTTTTTCCTTATATCTTCTACTATTTTTCCTTATATTGCAGTCAGTGATGTATTTCAGCAACTAGGAAATCATGTTGCTGCATTTCACATGAGGTAAAAAAGGCAAATATCAAGGTGACTGCATGAAGCATGGAATACTGATAGCTGAGCACGGATTATGCAGCAAAGGAAATCTGTTACATGCATAGCAAGCACTGAGCAATATGTCATCAGGAATGGTTCCTGAAGGGCATGATTATAAGAGAGTTTGTTTCACCAAAGAGCTTTAAAGCTTCTTTGAGGGAAGATATACCCACTGTTGCCTGTGTTCATTAAGCCTGTGTCCCCTATCCTATTTCCGAAGCTACTGGTATTTCTTCCCTGTTACCATTTAGGCAGCCAAGTACTTTATTTCCCTTATTTTCTCTTATCTCTTTAACCTTTCTCCACCTATTTCCCACTCACTCTGTTAAACCACCTGGTTAAAATGAATCTTTATAAACCCTACTGAGCTGTCATTATGTTCATATCTGATTTATTTTTCATGAAATGGACTTTTCTCTTCCCTGGTGCTACCCAATCTGTATAAATTGGTTATTTTGGTCAATGAAAGTTTTTATGACTCCATCAAATCAGACTGAAGAATAAAGCAGTATAGTGGTGAGGTGAGCCATTGCCACATCGTGAGAGGCTTCCCTTAGGCTCCCAAACTCAAAACAGTCTGGGAGAGTTTACACATTTGACGGATATACTCATATTTGAAGTGAAATCCAAAGCTGAGTAAGTTGATGGGCATCACATTAAATGCACCTCTTAAGTAGACTGAACACAATTTTTGTCTAAAAGCTGAATCTGCCTTTCACTTGGAGGCTTTTTAAATCTGTGGCTGGCAGAGCAGATTGCACAATTAATAAATATCATACCTGTGTGCATGTGCAGTTACCTATAATAGTGAGATCCTTAATTTTTTGTCTGTAAAGGCAATGGTAAGTTCCATGACATATTTCTGATGGCAGAGGCAATGAAGTACAAACTCCTTCCCATCTTGAATATTTGACATGGCATTTTAGCCAAAGGAATTGCAGTATGCAAACTGATGTGATTTTATTAACTTTCCAGTGCTTTTAGCATTCTGCCTCCTTTTTGGCATAGCCTGCTTTCAGGTTTTTGTGGATTTCTGTGGGTTCCAGGTGAAACAGTTAGAAGCTCATCAGCCTGATACTCTGACTTCTGCTTTACTCCACAGCTCACTGAATGACATAGCAGGATAGACTGCACGGCACTTCCCTTGTAAGGAATCAAAAGTCATCATGAGAGCTATGAATATAGAGGTTTTGTGAGTCATCAAATTTAAGCATAAATTGTGATTCTGAGAAACACTGTGTTTAAAACTGCTTCATAGTTATGATTTTATATATATATATATATATACATACACACTTGTCCCACTGGAACATTGACTCTTGTGACAATAATGTGACATTACTTTGACATTTACAAATTGCACAATACTATTTCTGATACATTTTGAAAATAAATAATCATAAAGGATCAAATATTGCACAGTTATAGGGGATTATTTACTTGGGAAAATCTCTTTTTCTTCTTCAGAAAACATGCAATATATATTTGGTTCTTTTAATAAGAAAGAAGTTTTTAAACAAATGTATAATGTTTTCCTTTCTGTTTCCCCTGGGGTTAATCACTCATTTGGCATGTAAAGATTCATTTAGATATTTTATTACCCCTTATTAAGCCAACTTATATTATTTCAGGAAAGAATGATTGCAGCTTATGGTATTAGTGGTTCTTCCAAAGAGATGTCAATGTGGAAATAACAAAGATCTTCATGTATATTAAATCAACTGCTAGCAATCCTCCAGAGCAGCCTACAATTAATTAACTGTAGCTTCTGATGATCTGAAAACATAAGAGTAGTTTACATTTTATTATCTGTCTACTGAGAGCTCATATTCTCTTAGATTTCATGGAGTCATGCATTTATTTGCTTCTTTCAGTTCTTCACAAGAGGCTTGGGGGAGCAGAGTGTGGGGGGCAGTTGATTTTATATTTGAGAAACTGAGAAATAAAGGCACTTAAAATCGGTGACTGTGAAACCAGACTTTACCTTTGCAGCTTTGAATCTAGTAAAAGTCATCTCAGCTTTAGTGAACCTGAGTCTAGGGGTCTATGATGCATAAGCTTGCTTTCGAAACACTGTCTCACAACGTGATTGAAATAAAACATCAGGACACAGATGTCCTGTAGGAGCAACCGCACAGGGTCAGGTTAAAGCCCTCCCTTTAACTCTGGGTGTTGCAGGAGCCCGTGGAAGCTTAGGCTGAGTGTTAGTTTACGCTTTCTTGGACATAGTTTACTTCCTTTCAGAAATATTTTCTGAAGCCTCAATAATTAGTAATTTCAGGCACTTCTGAAAACACTGGAGTATCCTTTTATATTCAACAGCCTTCAATAGATTCTATTTTTTTCCATCATCTTGCTCAGTTGCCTTTCAGCCTCTGCACATTCCCTGACAAGGAATTCAATGGCTTGATTGTGCACAGTATGAAAAAGAGACTGTTTTTGTTTGGTTTGAACCTGTCATCCTCCAGTATCTCTTGAAGTTCCTTGGTTGTTTTATTGTAAAAGACAGGGAATAATTATTCCTTACTCATCAGAACCTCAAGTGCATGGACCTCAAGCAGTAATTTGAAAATGCAAACCATCTGTGTGACAGCTGTGGCTGAGCATGATCTCTTTCAATGCATGCATTCATTCTTTGGTTTGGGTGACACTATAAACCTATAAATGTCAACTGCAGAAACTCTGAAAATAATAGATTTGCATGCATTGTTAATTACTTTCAAACAAAAATTAGATTAATTGATAATGTTTAAAACATTTTAGTTGATGAACGTGATTCATCCAGGTCACCACATTCCATTTTGTCTGTGGCCTTGATACATGCATGCTTTATTAATGATAAATTAATGATGCCAAGATCTAAATCCTGGCTTTTCTGTTTGTGCATTTTCTTCTAGCTTTTCCAGTTAGATTACCAAAACATTTTCTTAAAGATATAGAACAAATCAGATTAGTAAATCCCTAAAAAAAATGGATGAAAATGGAGAGGGGAAAAAAAAGACAGTGAAATATGAAGATGTCATTTTGAAGTTCGAAGTATTAAAACTGTCCCATCAAAGTATTAAAAACTGATTCTAAAATCTCACTGAGGAATGATTGCATAAATTATGGAGATAGAGAAACTAAGTCTTATGAATCTCATATTTCCATCAGTATTTGTGGTTAGCTTTCTATATGTTGCATTCTATTTTTTCTTATCTTTATACTTTGGGTAGTGTCTTGTTTCCTTGTCAATCCTAGAGGAGCCAAAAATGCTCATGAGAGATTCATAGATTCCAACATATGTAGTATCAAGATTGGAATGATAGACCAATAGCCTGTCAAGAATGCAAATGCTTATTTTAAGAAAACAGCCTAAACTAAGTATGGCAAAGTTGTATTTAAAAGAACTTCTCAATCATTTCATTAAACCTGAAATCTCTCATAACTCCAACTGTCATCTGTAGGAAACAGATGTTCTTAAAAACTGTGGATAGCATATCCTTTTAAAAATAGTAGGCTTTTTATAACTATAAAACACACTAAAATGAATATATAAGACAAACCAACTGACCTTGTCCCCTGTCTTTAGCATGAGACTCAAACTTTATTGCATTCTTTATTTCTGTCTCTGTAGTAACCTGCTGATATATTGGTGGTTGTCTTAGCCTTCCACAAAGGTCTATAAGCCCAGAGTTTGCTGACCCAACCTGAACTATCAGTGTCCTTTTCCATACTGCTGGACCAGCGACAGGTTGAATTTTTGATTTTGTTTCTGTTCCACGGCAACATTTTAAATCCTTATATCAGCAAGCAAAGCTTACTAATGAACTAACGAAGTCAACTAGAATCACATCCTATAAATGGCTGAACTTCTAAGAGGTACATTCTCTACCTTCTGCTTTGGGCATTTAACAATACTCCTATTGAGTTGCTGAATGCCCAATGAACAACCACAAAGTCTTTCATATCTCTTTTTGTCATAAATATGATGGGGTTTATGTTGTAATTGTAAATATATATTTTTCCAGTAATGAAAATTTCTTTACAAAAAAGGTGCATGGTTCTAGTTAGCAATCCTAAGTGAAAAAAAGTGCTGTGCCACATCCATCAGGAAGGTTAAATCCAGATGGTTGGAGCATATGGCAACAGTGAAGTTGTCACTGCGACGCCTCTGAGTATTCGTTGTGTGCCCAAACGAAGATGCTGCTATCTTTACTGAGCTGACCTTCGAGGAAACAAGCAGAATTTCCCTCAGGGTGTCATCTGCTACTTTGGCTCACTATATGCCACCAACAAACTGGTTTCAAAGGCAAACACACACCAAGACAGGGCTTCCCCGAGAGGCTTTATTAGATAAATTATTTTAAATGCTTCTGGTCAGGATAAGTCTGATGAAGACAGATGGCAAAATGGAGGACTCTATTTCCAAAGGAATAAGAATTTTTTCAAGCTTTTCTTCAGTGCCACTCTGTTTCTGGGAAAGATTTAAGAACTGTGTCTGTACATAAGAAAGAAAGCATTCATAAATGTTGATAAACTATACCAAATTTCTATAAAAACAGAGTGTTTTTTTCACAAACATTATCTCTCTAAGAATGCTTTAATTGGGGTGTGTTTCCAGTAGGAGATATTACCCCTGTGGGGCTGCTTTTAATGTGGAAGTTGGGAATATTGCCTCCCTCATGCAAAATAAGGAAAGCAGAAATTAAGCTCCTTGCATAACACAGTCCTTCAGCATGAATCACTTTAAATGGGTGAAATGCCAGAAGGAAAAACTAATGAACACAAGTAATAACTGCAAATGGGTAGTTAGAAGAAACACAGAAGGTAAGGCAAATTGTAAAGCCTCTCTAAAGGAGAACCACCACTAATTTAGCTGCTGGTGAGCAGTAGCTGGAGCAGTTCAGCGCTGTGCCTAGGGAGGGAGCACACAAGGCAGAGGGGAGTTGTTATGTGGTTTTAAGGATCAGTCAGGACTCATGCTACTGAAAGGTTACAGGAGGAAGCTGCCGTTGGTAGCTCTTTTTCAGCACTCAGTATGTTTTGAGAGTATGGATGGTTTCTGACTGGATATCACACAAAAGAATCATTCAGAAAACAGATTGACATATTTATGCTTTGGTTGTTTATTCAAAAGGGAAGGCAGAGCAAGTCAAACCATGGTTTGGCGTGTGTTTCTGGGATGATCTAACTTTCTTCTTGTGAGCCAGCAGAGGAAGGCCTTAAGTTTGGACTCCTTCCAGAAAATTTATGTTTCACAAATATATTTTCCTATAATAAAATATTATTTGGCAATAAAACAAGTCCTTCTGCATACTGTATCTCATTTGGAGGAGACTCTGTTGCTGGCTGCTGATCAAACTCTGTCTTTACAATTTTTGCAGCAGGTTCACAATTAAGAACTACTGCTACAAATTATTCTGGGTATCTTGAACTTCATTATCTCATGCTAAATCTATTTTTTTTAATATTGAAATAGCATCACAAAGAACATTGCATAGAAAGTTTCTTGGGAAAATACATTCAAAGTACATCGCAGGAGTCATACTGAGATTTCATAAATCTTTATGTTAGCAACACCACTTTATTTATAGCATAATTTTTCTAGATGGTGATAATTGCTGTAGTCAGTACCAAAGTATAGCAATCTGTAATTTAAAAATCAATTCTTTTTAATTCTGTTTTAAAATTCAAGCTGCCTTTTTTTTTTTTAAAGATTTTTAGCTGAAATTGAAAGAATTAAAGTGGGGGGGGGCTGTTTTTCAGTTGATACAGCATTTTAGAGCTGTCTGCCTCAGGGTTGTTTCTTGTAATCTTTGGGACACAAGAGAGAATGATACCTGCACTCTTTTTTGCTGTAAACATATAATTTTGCTGTCCTGAATTTTGTAGTCTCTTCTAATTGCATGAAAATTATTTGACTTCCTTTTTTGTTTGTCACCTGGGTATTGCAAAGCACTAATACCAGTTTAGCTGGCTGTTCTGTAACAAGGAGAGAATTTTGCAGCTCTGTGAGGCAAATGCAAGTTAAAATAAAAGGTTGTCAGCTATATAATGATGCCTTAATATTTTCTGAGGTTCCTTAGGCCTTGTTCATGCCAAGGAGCCCATTTCTCAGGTAATAATATTAGCACTGCATTTACATTTACAGTATTTCAAACCTGTTTCAGCGCAGAGACCTCAGCAGGGCACACAGATTTTCCTGGACCCCCTTTTTTATGGCATGTGATGGCATTGTAAATGGCATTATCCTCAGACCTGTCCGGGGAGTTTTGTGGGTTCCAGATGCACCCCAGCCCTGAGGTGACTCTGAGCACCCTGAAGGGGACATCAACCTGTGCTTTATAACTCCTAGGAGCACTTTTCTGATTCAGGGTCACAAATATTAAAAGAAGCATTTCTCTCTGCAGCCACAAAGCTTTCTGTCAAATCAGTCTGTCAGCCTGTGCTGAAGTATCTTTTTGTGAAAATTGACTTCCTAATATTAGTGTCAAAAAGGGACACAGTATTTTATTATTTGCTTTGTTTTGGGTTCTTTTGTTCCATAACTCAAAAGACTGGAAAGTAGTTATTATATAATACCCAACTCAATAGCTCAGGCACCTACATTCTTTCATCTTGGTTTTGTGAGTGCAATTATTACTTAAAAATTACAGTTGCTACTGTTACAGTGCCTTGGACTGAATTTAAAAAAAGAGCTATTCATAAAATATTATTTCTAAAGAAAGTAGACATTTGTCATGTTTTAAGCTTGTTGAGTTCTTGTGAAAATCAGTCTGAGAGAAACTGGTTAAACATCAGGATTTAAACCTCTTATTTCTATATGTGGTAATACAAGGTACCATGTCTCTACCTTTAGTCAAACTCTCTATAACTAAAACTCAAGCTGCTTTAGCTTATCAGCCGAGTTACTGTTCTTGATCTTATAGAAAAGTAGGTTTGGTTGTTTATTTTACTATCTAATGCTTATCACAAGCTGCATTTTAGTTGCCTTTAATTTTCCCACATCTCAGCACTTGGGAGTGAAATCTGCAGTGCAGAACCTCTGTTTAAGGTGCAGTTGTTTGAGGGACATCCAAATAAAATGCATTTAATGAAGATATATAATGTGAGGGCATAGATATACGTGTGTGTGTGTGTGTGTATAAGGCAAAAGTATCCTCTAAATAAGATCTACCATATGTTCTTTAGCATCAAGTAACCAAGCGAAAATTAATCCCTTACTTTGCTGAAGAGAATCTGGTGCTTTAGTTTTTATTTAGAACTCTTCTATTACTGGGAGGCCACCTATTGCCTTGTCATGCAAATCTGACTGTGATTAATATCCCTGAGAAACACACTCAGCAGCAATTTGCAGGTTTGGAGCCTGAATTACCTGGAATTTTGGCTTTACGTAGCCTGTTTCATCCTCTGATTTGTGTGGGTTTGGACTCACCAGGAACCGTCACTTCAACAGGGTAAAACTTCCAGCTGCCCATCGTGAAAATGTCTACAGGAATATGATGCTACATCATTCAGTATTTGCACCATAATTCAAACGGAGAGGGACTCACAGGCAAACTTAACTCAAGGACATCCTGATTCCCAAAGCCTTGTGTTTTCAACAACAGTTTTCTGTTTTAACAATAATTTTCTAGGTCTTTTTTTTTTTATAACACAATGTTCACTTTGACTACATTACTTGGGACCCAAAATTTAATGGCAATCAGTAGGATTTGAGACCATTTCAGTAGTTCTAACAAGGTTTTTACCAGATATGGCATAGGTCATGTCACAGGTTTTGTATAATTCAAAGGTTGGGAGAAAAGGTTGGCTGCATCCATGATATCTGATAAAACGTAAAACAAGTTATTTACCTTCCTGGATAAAGAACCTGGAAAAACTACTCTAAAGCATTTTTTACTTTAGCTTTCATGCACTTAGCAGTTACTAAGCAGAAAAAAGATCATCTTTCTTCCTCATCTGGGCATTTTTTTCTCCAAACTAATAAATTCTATTTGAAAAATATTTTGTAAATTATTTTTAATTGAATAAATGTGATCTGGACAAAAGTCGTATCTTAGAGATATTTCTTCCCATCTTAACCAATAGGTAATAAAGTATAGGAAAAATGAGCTAATCTTGTGGATAAAAAGCTCAAATACGTTGTCAATTTAAAACTAGAAAGCTTAATTCTGTGCTGATTATAGTGTTGCTGGTGTTTGTGCTGCAATAGCTCCAAAGAGTCTTTTCATAGAGACTTTGTTATACCAGATATTGTACCACGGCCTTGTCCCAAGCACTGACAACCTACAGAGCAAGAACTAAAACACCAATCAAAATAAAGCAGCTGTATTCCCACTTTCAGAAAAGAGAATAATCTGGATTTCTCAAGAAGCCTTCAGGAATTGAATGAACTCTATACTGAGCTTCGTAGATGCAGCAGGACCAAGGATGTGCTTATTTTATCACTGAGTGTTTCACTGAGGAGCTTCAGTTGTAAAATACGACATTGATCAGCTATGTGATGTTTTTCTCAGTGGAATCTACACCTGCAAAGAGAGATCTACACAAATGTTGAAGCATGCTAGGTCTGGGCCTGAATGGCATGCAAAAGGAAATCTTGTAAAATAAAAAGACAGATCTGGTCCAAGATTTAGGACAAAATATGGAAGTCCTCATGTTCTCCCTTAGATTTAAATGAAGAGCATCACTTAGGAATCCTTTCAAGGTAGATATACTTATGGTTCAATTTATAGTTTATGGCAGTGTGATGTCACTGCTTCTCCATCAGCTTCTCCAGGCTTCATTTTCTAGGAGGATGTCTCAAAAGGTTGATGTTACATCATATCCCAGTGAACAGACAGCCAGCTTGTGCTGTGGTAGTAGATGCTGGTGCTGAGCTGCTTCAATGCCCTGTGCCTCCAGCTATGTCTGACATGGGAAAGTGTACAAACAGCTCTGTCTGTCTCAATAAAGAACCATTGGGAATAAATGCTTATTAGGAGCATTATGTATGCAGATGTGTCTAACAATATTTCCAGTAATGAACTGTGCATAAATGCCTACTGATGAACACACTGCAGGACCATAATGGTTTCAGTGAGACAATGCTTCCAGTTCTGCTTCCAGTATTGGAGTAAGTCAGAGTGAAAATCAGATTTTGCAAAGTTGGTAGGACCCAAGTAATAAAGACCCTGCCAGCTGGGAATTTTTTTCAGCATATTCTACCTGCCTCAAAACATTGATATTATAATACAGGAACAGAAAACAGGATTAATCTGTGCTGTCCAGACAGAGAACTGAGGAGCCAAAAGACTAAGTGCTTTTGGTCAAGGTCACTCTGGAAACCACCAGCAGAGCTGAAAATTGAATTGAGATGTCCAGTGTTTGACACAGATGTCTGGGCTCCAGCCCATGTCATCAGTCCCTCTCTCCAAACGGATATGTCACCAGAGGTACTCTCTCGTGCTGTTAATGTGTCCCACAGAAGAAAAGGTAGGTGCTGAAAGGGCTTTTGGTACAGTTTGAGGTATATTGCAAATGATTCTAAATATGGAGAGGAAAATGAGCTAAAGCATGGGCAAGAAAATGAAGTTGTCTTTACAGAGTGGAAGTAATTCTGTTGATACCTAGCATCTCTCAAGAATTCAAGTTTCATAACTGGAATCTTGTGGTGCTAAAAATGTAAGACAGTGTGGGATTGTAATGCTGTGTAAGGGACCCAGGGTAAACTTGGATCTAATTTTGTATGTGCCCCACAGGGTGAGAAATGCTTTGAAGACATATTTGGATCTGTCATTTTTTGCAGCAAACAATGTCACCTGATGATAACTCAAATGGACAGTTATACCTTGCGAAAAAAATCACCCCCACCAACCTCCTCCAAATTAAAAATTTAGTACTTTACATCATTCTCACTCAATATTTCATAGGTTAGAAGAAGCTGCCACAGAGGAAATGGTTTTTTTACAGTTATAATTTCCATGACAAGGTGAATATGAGGTGGGGGATAAGCAAAAAAAGGAAGAGGATAGAAAAGCAAAAAAGGCAAGTCTGGGCAGTCAACTGAGTATGTTTCTGTGAAGAGAAAAGAGATTTCTTACCACACTGCTCCCAGGAGCACCACCATGGCTTAAAAGCATTCTTCTGTTTGGTGGAAGTGTGTGTGCCTGCTTGATTGAGTGGAAGGAGTGCAGGGGGAAAATGAGAACACAAATATGTGTTTTGGCTGTCATACAGTCAATACAGTAATAGGTCAGCAGAAACATCAAAACACTATCAAGAACTGTTTTCAGGGCTGTGAGTGAGCAAAATTTGTTGGGCAATCAGCCAAGGGAAAGGAGAAGAGGTCTTCTGTTGTTCTTAGAGCTCATCAAGGGGCACTAAAGAAGCAAACTGAAATCTCTTTATATTAGAAAGTCAATAGTTCACAAACAGTTTGTATTATGGTGCAAAAATTTTTGTATAGTAAGTTTGGGGTGAATTCAATACTCAGGAACAATAAAGTCAAGATTCATTGCAAGTAAATCATTATAACTGCTTATCAACTCTGTGCACAGCTTTTGCAAAGCTGCTTTGCTCTAAAAACTAACCAACCAGGAGCACCTGAGAACTTCAAGCCATTTTTTTAGAACTTTCCTTTTTGAAAGACAAGGAAAGAGTCACCAGTGTTCATCTCTCAGAAGGATCTGTAAAAGCTGCAAAACACCTGTCTAAAAGCCATAGATGAAATACTTAGAAAAATGCTTTCAACATTTGTCCCCAACACATAGGAAGTGCCTTCACAGTAAAATGTACTACATGAGTGAAATGATATTGTAAATTAGTTATTAAGCAGCCCAAATGTTTTTAAACTTCACATCCCTTTGGGATGTTCTTATCTCAGTAACAGAGATAACCTGCTACAAGTACTTGTCAAGCATTATGGGGCAGGATAAACCTGCCTGCAAAGCTTTTTAGGTGCTGTAATGAAAAGGTTTTCACCTTCATGTCTGAAAAGTTTGAAACACTGCGCACATGTCAGAAAAACTGATGCTGAGGCAATGCAGCCTTTTCAGCTATATTTTCATTCTTATCACAGTCTTCTCACTGGGAGACAATGAGGAAGAACGCAAAATTCTTTGGCTTGTAGTACAACCAACAAAGGGTTTTCATTTCCTCTGTTTCATTTCCTCTGTTCATTTCCCACATGCAGGCTGTATTGAAAGCAGTAACACAATAACTTTTGCTTTTATTCCTTTCACATGAATAAAGGCAGATGATAACAGTACCATCATTATTTGCCACCCTCCCATGTGCATACACTGTTCCAGACCTTCATAGGCAGCCCTTTCTATGAAGCTTGCTGGGTGCAGAGGCTGCATGGATGGAATCTGTAACCTAAAGTGAAGGATTTTCATCTTCCTGAGCAAATGAGTCCATTCTGCAAATCAAAATACCCAGAAAAGGCTGTGAAGTACATGAACATGGATTGCATTAATCTGTCAGCACAACAGGACCATACCAGGTGATTTGCTCATGGCAGTTCTAACAATCCTGCACTCAAGAAAAGGTTGTTTTCTGCATCATAAGTGAGTCAAAAGCCTTCAGGACATTAGGATTCATTCTCAGGTTTAACACAAACCTGGGTTGTGTGTGGGATTTTTTTTAGCCAGAATGTTAGTATGACTTCTGAGGGGGCCCTGCATCCAAAGCACAGTGGGCAGCAGGTTGAGGGAGGTGATTCTCCCACTCTACTCTACCCTTGTGTGACTCCACCTGGGATGCTGCATCCAGCTCTGGATTCCTCAGCCTAAGAAAGATGTGGAAATGTTGGAGCACGTCCAGAGGAGGGCCACAGAGATAATCAGAGGGATGGAGAACTGCTCCTGCGAGGCTCAGCCTAGAGAAGAGAAGGCCTAGGGAGACCTCACAGTGACTTTTTACGTGGGCAGGTAATGACAGGACAAGAGGGAATGGTTTTGAACTAAAAGAGGAGAGATTTAGATTAGACATTAGGAAGAAATTTGTTAATTAGAGGGTAGTAAGGCACTGGAACACATTTCCTAGAGAGGTTCTGAATTCCCCATCCCTGGAAGTGTTCAAAGGGCAGGTTGGATGGTGCTTTAAGCAACCTGGTAAAGGTGTCCCTGCCCATGGCAAGGGGTTGGAACTAAATGGTCTTTAAGGTCCCTGCCAATCCAAACCATTCCATGATTCCATGGTTCTAGTATATGAATTTACAGAATACCAGGAATAACTGAGGAATGCTCAAGACAGGTCTGTTTTGACATCATCTCCAAATGTGCTGCTGCCCAAATTCAAGAAAGGAAATCGAAAATATGTAATTTCTCCAATATGTCCATATAAACATCTTCTGTAATTGCCACATTTAATGTAATGTGTACTCTGGAAATATTTTCTGACACATTCTCTTTTTACTGTTGAGTTGTTTTACTTTTTTTTTTTTTTGCTTTGTAAGTAATGTATCTTTAATGAATTGTGACACACACTTTACTTTTACTCATTAGTAGCCTGACATGTGGCCTTTGTTTTCTCTTTCAGCCTGTGGGGGTCCATACTCTCACCTGTGAGCTTTGTATGAGCTAAGCTACCAGACATGCAAGACTGATTTTATTGAAAACTAAGTAACGACCCTTGAATTGCTTTCATATAACTGGGAAAAAGTCTGTTTCTCTAAAGCCAGCCATGCAGAGCACTAAAGCCAAGAAAATGTCTCTCATTGACATCCCTAGACTTTGGTTTGGGACCCTTGCCAATGTTTTATTTAAATGGACTTTTAACAGTTTCATATATTCGACTCCTACCAATCCTCAAGTTCAAAAGAAGTAAATGTTCTAGACTTAAATTGTAATGTATCCTGCTAGGAAAAATATTCATTCAATTACAGTGACTGGCTGTCACTGTGTTTATTTTGAAAGTACAAGCTTTCTGAGATCCAAGACTGGAAATTAGGCACAGGCATCATACGCACAAACTAAAAGCTATGAAATATCTGAGACCTCTGGAGTGAGAGGCAAGGGGGAAAGGTAAAGAGAGAAGAAATGTCTGCAGCAAGCCCTAGAAAAGGGAGAAACAAGCAGGCTTATCACCCCATATGTCGGGGGAGAAGGGGAGGAAACTTTAAGACACAATTTTGCTAGGCTGGGGCTCCACAGTTTTCTCATCCTCCCACTTCAAAGACTTTCATACCATCTCAGGGCTGCCACCAAGGGCTTCCCTCCTGTCTCTGGTATCTCCTGAGGACCATGGGGGCTGAAGCTGCCCCAGGGACCACTCAGGGGCTGTTCACTTTCATTAGGCACAACCTGAAGGGCACTGGGGACCCTGAGGGGACAAGGAGAATGCTGAAAGGAGTCACCTTCCCCTGGCATTAGCACTTCCTCAGCTTCTATTTTGCCCAACACAGTTTGTCTACTAACATGTATTTAAAGCAGGGGTAAATCTGTTTATCTCTGTTCAGTCCAGCAGATTCAATCCTCAGAAAACAAAGCACTTTTTATTACTATTACGTGTGTATTGCCCTCAGTGTTGGCAAATTGTCTCTTTCTTTTTTGAAAATTGAGAATGCAATTTCATAAATTCTGCAGTGGAGAATTGCATTTTATATTCAGAGACCTTTAAATTCATAATATATTTATTTTTTTAAATAAAAGGTGTTGAGATATTTGAGCATTTTGTATTCATTTTTATTTTATGTGTAGCTTGCTGATACATAAAATACTGAAGTAACATGGTAGGAATTAACATAGAGTTTTCCTCTTCCTCTACAAAGCTGACCAGTGCAGGTCAAAACTCTTGTTCCCCCTTTCTGTGTTACGACAAAGCAGGGTTATTCTCCTTGGAAATACAGCTTTTAACATTAGTCAGTGTTAGGAACCGTTGAAGCTAAAAAAACCCTAAAGACTTTCTTCACCTCTAGTTTAACCCATTTTGAAGTAAAACTGCAAGAATCAAGTCTCAACGGCTTCCAAATGAAGTGCCATAACCTCAGAAATGTGGTGACACCTACAGAGAGTTCACAAACTGGACAGAAATTGAGCTGCATGACTCTATCATGCCAGGAGGTTTGAAAGCTTAGAGGTAAAATGGCAAGGAATCTTGTTGGAGAAAAAAATAATTATACAGGCATAACTGCTTGACACAATGGTAATTTTCATCAAGGTTAATAATTTTCTTTAACATTATTGAACAAGAGTTATAGACCTTATTTTCAAACTTCTATTTCCATATAGGGAATTAATTTTACTTCCTATTATACATTTTTAATTCTACCTTGCATCCTATCTCATTCTCTTTTATCACTTTTGGATGCCCAGTTACTTTCAATTAAATATTAACAACCATCTTTTAATCTATCCTGTAATTTGGAAACAGGAGAACACTGCAATGGTTCTTGTCTTTCCAAGAGACAACATTTCTATTCAGTGATGGAGGAATCCAAATGGTAGTGCATTTATCTCAAGGAATATCAGGCCCTGGGTGACAGCATACCAATTGTCCTGCCACTCTTATCCAGTGGAACAGTGTGAAAATGTCAAACCAGAAGAAAGGCTGCCCTCTGTGTTTCCATCCAGGAGGGATGTTCTTGTGGGAACAAGCATCTGAGAGAGGGAAAGATCATCTGCTTAGATACAGCAAGTATATTTCAGTTTTGGAAATGTGTCTCCCTTTCTGGGGGCTTTTCCGAGGCCTCTGTGCCAGGTCCGAGCATCAGGCAGCAATTCAGGTCACAGGAAGTTTTGTCATTGAAGATCAGGAATCTAATCTCTTGTTAATCTGAGCATTCAAAATCCCTTTTATAGTGTGACTGTGTTGCTTCAGCAGTGTTACCAGAAGCACTGAGTGCAGATGAGCCACTGTTTACAGAGGATACCCTCATGGCATAAACAGCAGGAGGGTCACTGCTCTGTCTCATGATTTTTGAGGTGGAATTTTGGGATGTTTTGTGGCCTCCCTGGCTCAGTGGTAAAGGAAACACTCCACCTCAACTTTCCCCCTTGATGATGATTTCCAATAGAGATCACAGGTTGTCAGCACACCTCAAGCTGTGATGTATGTGTGCAGTCAAGGATATTGTCACTTCATCAATGGAGTGAGGAGGGACATTAAACATGATGACATGACATTCTGAGTCAACTTTAAAATGTCTTGTTTCAGGACAAGTTGTAAAGTGATTATTCATTTTA